CCCATGCAACAATGCCATCATTCCCACTCTCCTACACCAAGTTGTCATGGGGGCATCCTTGATATCTTGCTGGGCTACAACTATCCAAGCAACCAACTCTCCTCAGCTCGTCAAATATAAGGGTCTGTGGAACAGTGAATAGGACCAGGAATTGAGTCTCTTCTCAGCAAGTCTTTACTTTGCTCCTGACTCATCCAGGAGCATCATTATAAAATAAGAAATGGAGGTAGTGGTTTTCAGGTGGAACATGTTCCACCTGCCAACATCTCTGTGAAAAATTGTTCTGTCTCACACTGGGGTGACTAAAAGCAAGAATCCAGGATATCTGTTTCACTAGCCAGTGTGTGTTTCTTGGAAGGATGGGAGGAAAAATATTTGTCTTAAATGCCCCATATTATTTATTAGTTGGAAACAAATTAATGCTTCATACACTCAGTGCCACTGGCTTTCAGACCTCACATGATGTTGGAAGGGGATGATGAAACAGAAACCACACTCTGTACTAAGATGTACAAGAGGGCATGTGAGCAAGTGAGGACTGCCAAGGTTTCCGTGGGGATGAATATGGATAATTAAAACCAACCACCTCTTTGTCTGGGCTACATTGTACAAACAATTCTGGGATGATATATTTTGACCAAATGAAAAAACAATTAGCTTCCCCTACAGATGATTTATAGAGAAAGACAACAAATCTTGAATAAAAATGAGTTTATACCTAATTTGGAAGAGAAACCCTTCATGATGTAGCTCTGCTGACTAACAGAGTCAGGAATTGAGTCTGTCTCCTTTTCAGCAGAAGCACAGGGTCCACAACCCTTCAAGAACCTGCAACTTTATCCCCAAAGTGACTTGGGGTTGAGACAGTATGTCTGCCAAGCCCACTCCATTACCTATTGACTCAGGGATCACATAAGTTAGCTGGTCTATGAAGACATACAGGATAATAGTAATCACTCTGGAAAGCCGTGGGGAGAAGACTGAGATTAGAATCAGGCAGTCAGAGCCCCTCCATTATCTCTGTGCTCATACTACTATAAGAGCTACTTTAGAGCTGTTATCACACTGCAATATGATTCTTGTTTTCCTAGAAAAGTCAGTCCTCATATGACCCTTCTTGCTTTGTGATATTGTCTCATGTATACTCGGGACAAAATTTAAAAATCTGCATCAAAGACTATGATGCCAAAGTAGCTGAATTTAAACCATGTATATACAAACGTACCCATACAAGGGTACAGTTATACAAATATGCACACACACATGTGAGTATGTATGTATGTATGTATGGTAGCCTGGAGCAAGTCCCTAAGTTTCTATACCTTAGTTTCTCTACATATAAATTTTCTGTAAGTATTATAGGAGTTAATATAATTGATAGTGCTCTGAGAGTAGAATTTGCACATAATAAACAATACATAAATGCTACTTACTATCATGTTAAAAATGACCATATATAATTAAAACGTTGGTGGCTCAAAATGCAATAACAACAATCTTATGGCAATTTTTATTCAATAATGTAGTTAATCTAAAGTGGTGGAAGGTCCTCCCTTATGGTGCAAGGCTTAAGCACAGCACTATGATGGTATCCGCAGCCTCTGCAGCACAACTTTGATCCCCAGCCGGCCAGGAAGATACCCACATGGCGCAGCAGACCTCTCCTGTCTCACCCGCTGCTCCCCTCAGCAGTATATTTCAGTCAGTCTGCCTGTTCTGTTCCCCACTCTGTCTCTGGGGAATCCTCTCACCCCCCCCCCATACCTCTGGACTGTACCCCCATTCTTGTATTCATAAATAAATAAATCCTTAGAAAATAAAAAAAAATAAAGTTGTGGAAAAGTGGTTCTTTCCCCTGAAACTCAAATAAAGGCATTCTCATTTTGAAGGAGAAGATGTTATCATTTATGGTTGCTTTTTTTTTTTTTTTAATTTGAACCACGGGTATATAAAGTTGCTAACCAGTGCTTTTGGCTATCTTCATATACTCAGGATGTCAGAAGCTATTTCAAGTGTATCTTTCATTCCTACTATTTACTACAGGCACAGTGTGGAATAAAATAGGAGAGAGAAGGAAAGAAGGAAGCAGAAGAGAGGGACAGAGAAAAAAGTAAGAGAGGAAGGGAAGAAGCAAGGGTTTAGTAAATAAACAGTTCTATTTATATCAACTGTTGAATATTCATTATATACAGTGACTTTTTTTTTTGGTTCTTACCCTTCAGAGGCAGATTCAGACCAGAACAAGTGCCGTATTATTCTGCATACAATAGATTTTCCACTGTCAGCATCCGGGTGTAAGGAATGACTATGAACCTGAAAAGAACAGAGATGTGCAGTGTTAGCATTCCCAAGGAAATGACATAAAACCAAAGAGAAGCTCTGCCAACAGGCTTCCTTTTTCCCTGTACCTATCAGCTTGTCCTAGATAAACTTCACTGTTCACTTCCATCATTGATTTAAGAGGCTAGAGAGAATTCCCTTTTTTGTGGATTTACCATTCCTCATGGAATCTTGTAGCATCCTGATGGACTCTCATCTGCTTTGGCTCTTTGCATTCACTCTTAAAATTGCCACACTTTTAAAAATGTCCACAGCACATCCAGAGGACTGGGCCCAGAATGCATTCCCAGGCTAAGGATACTGACCACAGAAAGTCAGAAGTTGGCCATTATTTATAGTTCTCCCACTGGTACTTACTGTGTGCCAGAACAGCTCCACTTCCCTATGCCCTCATTAGCACATAGTACCCACAGATGTGCAGTAACTGATCCAATTGAGACAGGATGTATAATAAAATATCCCCCAAACCCATAAAACTACACAAATGTGTATGCACATCTTTACCCACATACAATTATTACTCCTGCTAAGCTTAGTATCTGTTATACTAATTCCAACTATACTTAAAAAAATACAATAACTATAGAAACTCAATTAGAGGTTGATTGTAAATTGACACAATTCCAATTTGTCAGAAAATTCTAGACAAATTCCATAATTAAAATCAATGTGTGGCAGCACTAGTTTTGAAGGCACCACTTTTAGCAGCTAATAGTTCTCTCTTTTGGGTTGGATAGGTTAATCAGATTCTCTAAGGCTTGATTTATCTCACTATGAAGTAGGTCTGGATAGGACAGAGAAGCTCTACCTCACAGGGTTTCTAAGCATTTAGTGGGATAATTAATGGCAAGTATGTAGCTTACAAAGTGGGAGAATGTCTATTTTAAGGTCTGGCAGTTTTAATATATGTTCACAAATTCTTTAACAGTTATTTAGTTGAAAGAGTCTATGTCAATAGTTAAGCGAAAGTTAGATTCAGCACAGTACTTTAATAACCTATTTATTTTTAACTGTAATGCTAATAATGCTCTCCTCTTTTGTTAATTTGTAATAAAAAGTATCTCATCTGTAGTTATTGATGTATATAACCCACAGAGCAAACTACAAATAGACTCAAGGCAATGAATTATCATAAACTGAAGACTCCTGTGTAATCACCACCCCAAAAAATAGTTTTTAGTGGAAACGATTATGCAACTATGGAAGAATAGTTAATTGTTCTCTGAGACATCAATTCTGGAGTCTCTACATTCCTTGAGCTATCTGATATCGTCTAGGAGCGACCAGAATTCCAGGGATAGCAACAAAAGAAAATAACCCAAACTCTGGTGAGCCCTGCAAATATAAAATTATTTTCAGTGATAGAAAATATTATATAATTAGCCTCAAAAAATAAATGTTTTTGAGAGAAACAAGTGTACGCATAGGACTATGTACCATTCCTTTCTTTTGTAAGTTACTCCCATGAGGGGAAAAGTGTGTGTTGTTGCTGGGCGGGAAGGGTGGGGTGGGGTGGGGCAATACTGAGGTACATCAGCTGTTCTTGATTCCAATTTGAAAGAAGGTGAAAGATAAATCTGGGTGGAAAGCCATACATTACCAGCGATGCAGCGTTACAAATGCAGCAGAATCAACGGTTTACAGCTACATTGTGCAAATCTGACTTTTTTTTTTCCCAAGGATGATTCCTTTTAAAGCAGTCACAAACTAAGACCATGTGACTGGTTGTATCACAGGCGAAGGGGGAGCCCTGCGGGTCCTGCGTGGGCACAGACCAATTAAGTTGAGCACTCACTGAAATTGCTTTCTCAGCCAGGATGGAGAATGATTGATCACATGTCAAACTGTACACATGTTAGACTGAAAGAGTTTACAGGTATATCTGGCCCAAGGCCATAGACACTTCATTTCGCTGACTGAAACTGTTCGAGTGGTTAAGTGACGGGGAAAGTCACTCAATTTTTGGCACCTGGAGCGCCTTTGGCTGGGTCTTGCTGGTACTGAGGAAAGAAGGGAAACTTGGCCTTCATATGTATGCTGAGGATGGCAAGTCGGCCTAAGCAGAGTCCCAAGTCCAGTGAACTTTAGAAATTGCTGGGGCATTTAAAAAAAAAAATCCAGAGGCTCAAGAGTTGCCCAAGACCAAAGCCAATGTCCAACTTTCTGCAAGTGGAGCCCAGACATCAGGTAGGTTTCATCAGGTAATTCTACTCTGCAGAATAACCACATGATCGCCAACACCAGGTAAACAGTCCGAATCTGCACCAAAGCTTCCTTCTTTAAGGAAAGCTTCCAGAACCCAAATTTCCATAAGTGCGGTTCCGGCCGCAGGGGGTAATGTCAGCTCTCAAGTCTGCAACCCAAGGGCAGAAATGGGGCGAGTGCGTTCACGTAGAGCAGAATAGGCTTTGTCACACACGTTTCCTTGTAAACACTCCACGAAAGTCCGGCACAGAGACTTAAATACAAGGACCGAGAGGGCACTGGGCCACCACCTGGCTGCCGGCACCTGCACACGAGCGAGCCTGCAGCACGTTAACTCCGGGAGCTGAAGGCGCATGCGCAAACCCAAGACGCAGCCGAAGGCGCAGGTGCGGCGACTGCGCGGAGAGCGGAGGCGCATGCGCGGCGGGGGCGGTGCTTCCGGGAGGGGTAGGGCTGGCAGCGCGGGGGGGCGGGACCTGCGCCGCGAACCCCTATCCCAGGTTGCATCCGTGACCCCTGACTCAGGCGGCGATCCCCACTCCATCCCAGCCTTATGGCCCGGCACGTGTTTCTGACCGGGCCCCCAGGTAACCCCTTCCCCGAGTGTGGGCCTCCGGGACCGCCGAGGTTGGGGGATGTGCGGAGTCGGGGCAGCCCCGAGATTTCGGGGAGCAGCACTTGGGACTCTGTGTCCGCCTCCAGAGTTCTGCGTTTAAATTTCAGGCTAGGTAGTCTGAAGCATGTATTTCTTAGAAAACGTGATTTTAAGTATTTAGGATAGACAGGATTGGAATTGAAGGCAACCAAACTTGTGATGTGGTGATGTTCTTCATTAAGGTATGAAATAGCGGGGTCCAGTGGCTGCAGTAACCGGTGTAGTTTTGAAGTTGTGATGTATGCAAAAAGAGAGCTCATGCTATCTGGCACCACTGTGGTTAGTATGGAGGTGTCTAGTTTCTACTGATAGTCACACGCTGTCCTGTGGATCGTGGTCTATGTTTATAATGAAAGTAAGTGCGGAATTTCAGTTGATAGACACTGAAACTAAAGATTTAAGCTCCCCCTCCCCTCCCAATCCAAGGTCACTCACTTTCTGAACACCCTCCATGGATGAGGCTGCAAGTCAAGAAATCTTAGTATCTACAGTACCCCTCTCTTAAACCCAGAGTTTGTAGGTATCAGGCCTACTGATTGCCCTTGGCCAAACCCCTTAAATCTCTGTGCTGTGGAGTTCTTACCTATGGTATGGGATAATGTTCAGTTTAACCAGAGGCTAGAGGTGGAGATGCTTTTCAAACCAGGTGCTGCACATGTATCAGGCCTGAGTAGAGAGGTGGGAATGTGGTGGCAGCATCACAGGAGCTAAAGAAGAAAGATGGGATTCTTCAGTTCCTTTGCAACACAGGTCTCATTTTCAAGTTAGCTGTGAGTTCACAGGTCAAAATTGTTACCCTGAGCCCAGAATTCCTTTCCACTTTATATTAATGATTATGTTTAGCCTTAAGTAGCAAAGGTTACATGTGATATTGCAGACTTAGAGTATTGTTTTTACCAGACAATGGGGGAGTGGTGAGGGCAGGGTGGTTTGAGAAATTTTTAATATCCCAAGGCACTCCCTCATATTGCAAAGAAATATTGTCTTCTGAAGGTTGATTTGGCAGTCCTTTATTTGAAACTTGGAATTCAGTTTTCTCAGCAGGCTGACCCCAGGACATCTATGTGTTTCATAACAGTGGTGACCTGTTCTTGTGACTGTACCTCCTTAGTCCTGGAGATGGGTGGGGACAGAGGCTGGTCAGGCCAGCACAGGTTCTTCATTCTGTTTTCTTCTTAATAAATGTTTTATGTCCAGGTAGATGAAAAGATGCAAATAATTCTGCAGTGTTGCTCTGTTAAACCTGTCCTCAAACACACCCACCTCTACTTTCCCATCTTCTTAATGCAGCTTTAATATACATTTCATTAGCTCAATAGTCAGTTTTTATAGTATTATGACTATGTAAAAACTAATCACAGAAGAACCAGGTAGTCATCTATGATTTTTTTCTTTTATGCATAGCCCCCCACCCCCACCTTTGGGGTATTACGTTTTTGTTTTATATTTGCTTATCCCCAACTCCATCCCAAACTTCATGTTTTGAGAGTAATGTAGGAGTTACTGCACTTTCTCAAAGACATTTCCTTTTATTGTCTGTACTGTCAGTGCACCATCCATGTCTCCTTAGCCCTTAGCATTTTTCCTGACTTCCACCATCCAGCTTGTGACCCATTTTGGAGGGCTTTCTCTGGGCGCTGGAACCCACTCAGTTTGCTGATCTGCAGGACTAAGGCCCACTCTGTGTGGCAGGTCTGAAGGACCAGGGAATTTCCATCCTGCCAAGAGCAGCCTTTAACTTGTGATAGATGGAAGTTAGTGAATAAGCTCTGTTTCCTCACCCCTCTAAGTGTCAAACTCTGAGCTACATGTCCAGAACTCCTTGGAGGCCCCAGTATTATTAAACTCCTACTTTCCAAGGTAGTTACCTCCTACCAGCCTGTCTTACAGATTAAACTTTCCAGATTAAACTACCCATACTTGAATATTTATCTTAGGGTCAGGTTTATGGGAAACCGAAACTAAAAAAATTTTGGAGCTTGTCTGTATGTGGTGCAGAGCTATCATTTTGGGGTCTCCTTCAGCACAAGTCACTTTTTTAAGAGATTTATTCATTTATGCATTCAAGAACTGGTGTGTAGACCAGAGGTATGGGGGAGTGAGAGGATTTACTAGAGAGATTGGGGAGCAGAACAGGAGAATCTACTGAAATACACTGCTGAGGGGATCAGCAGGCTAGACAGGAGAGGTCTGCTGCTCCATGGAGGTTACTCCCTGGTCGGCAGAACTCTAGTGATGCAGTGGCTAGGGATAGGTTGATAGCGCTGTGTCTTTAACCCCTGTGCCACCAGGAAGGCCCCAGCACTTCTTAGCCATTGTAGCACTAAGGTTGCAGCTTAATTGGAAGAGATTAAAAAAAAAAGTTAGCTGTGTGAAGATTACTAGAGCCAAAGAGGAAAAAGGGGACTTGAGTGAAAGGCTTCCTCTTGTTTTATTACCTTCTACCTAACATGCAGGAGCCACTTATTCTCTTTTATTACAGCTGCTTCATTTTCTCCTTTTCAAAATGTAATTAACTTTGTTTTTCGCTACATTAAGAGTAATACTCACTCACTATAAGACCCCCTCCAAAAAAATAAAGGATGTTTTGAAGAAGAAAGTAACAGTCATATAGAATGCCAACATATAGAAATAAGTGCTATAAACATTTCTGTATTCTTTTGGACATTTTCTATTATAAACATGTACACACTTCACTTTAAAACATCATAATAGAATAATACTGTCTGTATCTGCTGATTCTTAACCTGGTAGTTTTACATGTTGTTGTCTGTTTTCCATAGTAATAAAGATAGCTAAGCAGTATTTTTAATGACTGCATGGTATTCCTGTGTATTTATGTGTCATTATATACATGGTATCATAATTGAACATTCCCTTACTGGTCAGCATTTAGATTGCTTTCAGTGTTTTGCTATTATAAAAACTGCTGAGGGGAGCATGCTATTTCATATATCTTTGTACTGTTGTCGGATTTTTTTTTTTTATTAAGGATGAATTCCTGGCCATAAAGTTGCTGTGCTGAGGAAGGCACATTGAAATTGCCCTTCAGAAAAGTACTATCTTACATATCCACTAATGTCTCTTGCTGTATTAAACAGATACGTCAGTGACTTTCCTAAAGCAGCAGTTACAGAGGATCAGAGCTGGCATCAGAACCCTCCACAGTTCTCTTATTAGCCACAGTGAGATGTAGATGGGGTCCTCTTGGGTTGCTGTTTATGTTCTAAAAGGCCAGATGCCATTGTTTGTTATTGTTAAGTTTGGAGGAGAAATATGTTAAATAAGAATAACAGATCTTACTTCAAGGAAGCGTAAAAGGATTTGTGGGGAATCCCAGCGATTCTGTGTGGGCAGCCATAGAAATATTATGATTTATAGCTTCTCTGCTTCTATGGCAGACCTGCTTGAAGTTTGCCTTCCTTTTCCATTTTTGGGTAATCATGATGCCACTGACTTAGATGTACATGAGAACAATGGCCACATAAACAAAGTCATGGTGACAGAGAGAGGCCTCTGTAAAAATGTATGGCTCTTGCTAGTTGTGTGAACTTATGTAAGTTACCTCATCTCTTTACCCATTTTCCTCATCTATAAAATAGGGGCCCACCTAAGAGTTCAGGCCAGGCTAAGAGGAAAGGTTGGGGTCACAAGTGGGCAGCATGAGGTGACAGAGGTGAGGAAGGGGTTGGAGACAAGCCAGAGGAAGGTTTAGGGATTACCATCTGATGAGATTGACCTTGTGAAAAAGTTAGATAATGCCATTTCTAGTGGTATTTAGTGTACATAAGAGACACATTTTCCCGAGATAGCAGTAAGTCCATGGAGGAATGAAGGAATTTCTGCACTGTCAAATATAGGTAAGGAATATCTGAAGGTTGAAAGTCAAGTTTAAAGTGCCTGGCCATCCTTCAACCCAAGCATGACAAGTTTTATATCTGAGGTGGAAAAGTTTGGCCAGCCAAGGAGGAGAGTAAACCTAGGACAAAAACTTCTATTTTGTCTTCCTTTAGGATCCAAATTGCATTTGAGACTATCATCAGAAAACTACCCAGTTGGTTCTGAGATTGTGTACCTGACAAAAGGAATAATGTTTCAGAATTTAAAAATCAACTTTAAGATACCATTCATTTTATTGCACTTGCTTGTACTTAAAATTAAATTTTTTAACACCTGGAGCAATCAAAATTCAAATGTAGTCCTAAAATCCATTTGCATTACATTTCTCTGTCCACCATGTTGTTCTTGGAATCAGTGAATGCTGAGTGCCTTGTGTGCTCTAGCAAGGGAATGGTTCTTAATGTTGTTTGTTTGTTTGTTTGTTTAGGAGTTGGAAAAACAACATTAATCCAAAAAGCCAGTGAAGTTCTGAAGTCCTCTGGTCTGCCTGTTGATGGATTTTATACAGAAGAAGTCAGACAGGCGGGGAGAAGAATAGGATTTGATGTTGTCACGTTATCTGGAATGCGGGGCCCTCTGTCTAGAGTTGGGTACTTACACTTCATTTTTACAGTGTCTTATTCTCCTTGGGCACAGGGTGAAGCCAATCGATTCTTCTCTCTTGAAAAATCTTGAACCATTACTAATTTCTCAGAGACAGAAGAGGTTGAAACCATCATATGAAAAACAAAGTATAAAAATACATTTCACCATAAAATTCATTTTATTAAGCCATAAGCTCTTCTTGCTTTGTAATTTGTAGCTCTTTTCTCACACCATTTTTCAAAGATTGGTCGTACATAAACTCCCCGGATGTGCTTTGCTCGCCTCCACTTTTTGTGTAGGTGATTTTAAAGGATGATTTAGCATATGTGGGTAGTCAGAGGCTCGGTGGAGCTGCAAAGAACCAGAAATCAGTGCAGGAATCTTTCAACAAGAACATGCTTGCTTTTCATTCAGGTCAGAGCCTCTGCCTGGAAAATGTGAATACCGAGTTGGGCAATATGCAGTGGATCTCACTTCCTTCGAGCAGTTGGCACTTCCGGTCTTAAAGAATGTGAGTGTATGGTTTCTGCTTCTTGAACCTATCTGTTCTTAGTGCAATGTGAGAATTGCCCACCCTAGGAGCAGAGTGGCTTTTCTCCTAGGGAGACACCAGTTTTGCATTTTACAGTTTTTACAAGTCTTCATGTGATTGAGTCAATATGGATATGCAACATAATTTGCTATCTCTCTGAATTAAGAGTAAATTGCTTGTCATATAAATTCAGCACATATATATATTTTATTTAGAGTTCAAATGCCTGGTTACCAAGGTTCCCAAAGATACCTTTCCTCTCTCTTATTTTTGTTGATATCTTAACCGTATTTTCATAGCACAACAGGTAAACATTTAGAAACAGAAAAAAAGGTCATTATATGAACATAATGGTAAGCACTTAATAGATTCTATTACTGTAGATAGCAGTGTAAGTCCATGGAGAAATGAAAGAATTTCTGCACTGTCAAATATAGGTAAGGTAAATTTGTTATTTTTTTGAAAGCAGCTTTATTAAACTTTAATTCATATACCATACAATTCACCCATTTAAAATGTACAGTCAATTTTTTCTAGTATAGTATATTATTGTATTAATATCATGCATTATACTCATTGATATTTGGATATTAAACCAATCTTGCTTTCTTGGTCATAGTGTATAGTCCTTTTTATATATTGCTGGATTCAGTTTGCTAGTATTTTGTTGAGGATTTTTGCATCAGTATTCATAATGGATATGGAGTTCTTATGAAACCTTTGCCAATTTGCTCTTGTCACCAGACAACAGAAAAGGCCCAGGATCTCTCAGCCCTATCCCAACCTCCCCCACATCACAGGCAGATAAACTAGAAGCAAACCAGCTACTGTTTGCTGAGCTACCCACTGGGAGTTGGAGGGATGAGCTGAGAAGTACCATTTCCAAACTGGGAAAAGGGTCTTGAAAAGAGGACTCCACAGGCTCTGAGGGCAGGCAAGGAGCCAGCGTTTTTTGGTTAGTGAAGAGCAAGAAAAGAGAGCTCTGAGGAGACCTCTCTGGGCATGGGAGCCTCTCCGAGGTGGCAGGGGTAGAGGTCTAGATAGGTGTTAGGATTGAGGTTTGAGTACAGAGGAATTTAATCTTCGTTGGTAGAGAAGCAAGGAGATTGGACTTGGCTAAAGTTCATTTATTGTGGCTAACTGTGGGCACCCATCAGCCCCAGCTCAGTGGTAAGATATCTCAGGATGCCCAGGCTGGGAGAATAAGTAGTAAAAACAATGGGCCAAGGGAATTTCTGGCAGCCAGTTTCCTGGCCCAGAGTCATCAGGTTTTTAACCTCCTGTTTACCAGCCGTGGGAACGGTAACATTTTTTTTCCTTGAGATCTGTCCTGGGACCCTTCCTGTCTCACCCTCATAGAATAAGAAAGTGTTTCTTCTCTAATTTTTAGAAGAGTTTTGTGAAGGGTTCATATTAATTTTTCTTTGAATATTTGATTAGAATTCACCAGTAAAGCCAGACAAAGTATGACCTGGGCTTTTGTTCATAGAAGCTTTTTAATTACAAATTTAATTTGATTTCTTATTATAGGTCTACCAACTTAATTATTTTTTGTTGAGTCACTTGTGGTAATTTGTATCTTTTAGTAATTTGTTGGCTTACAGTTGTTCATCTATCTCCCTATATTCCTTTTTATGCTTAAGTTCTATAATATTTTCCTTTTTTAATGTCATATTTTAGCTATTGAAGTTTTCTATTTTGTTTAGCCATTCTAACTGAAAGCTTTGATCAATTTAGTTGATCTTTTCTAAAGAACCAACTTTTGGCTTTGTTGATTATTATTTGTTTTGTTTTTTTGCATTGATTCATCAAATATTTATTGAATCCTACGTATACAGTCAAGAATAAAACAGACATGTTTTCCCTCTCTAAATCTCAGTTTAGTGGTAAATGTAAACACTGAACAAATAAATGTATAGTGTCATAAATTCTGTGAAGGAAAATAGCAGGGATCTCTAAGAGAAAGGCAGGAGGAACTGACTTGAGATCAGGTGACAGAATAGAGTTCTAAGGAGGTAACACTTTTAAACTGAAATGAAAAGATGAGAAAGCAGGATCATTTCAAATAGAGAATACTCTGTGTGTGTGTGTGTGTGTGTGTGTACATATGTATATACGCTGGGGAAGATATGTATATGTATATTGAGAGAGAATAGGGAGAGATGGCAGGAACAGCTCACTGAAACCCCAGGGCCTTGGGAGGTAAGGCGATGTAACAAGTGAAAAAGAAAATGTAGATAACTAGGTGAGATGGTGATGCCAAGTTTTTGTGGACTATATTAAGGAATATGAGTTTCACTTAATTTATTGGAGACTTACTACTATGATTTACTTGCATGAAAATTGAATGGTACAGACCTCTTTTATGACACAATTTTAAGCCTTCCAGGGGGTTCTGTTGCACCAACAATAAAGTTCAAGATCTTTCCTATGACCTGGGAGGCCCTGTCTGGCCATGCTCAACTCTGACCTCATCTTACCATTCTTCAGCCATACTAGCTCAAACAAATTCCTCACACATGCCAGGACCACTCTACCCTTTGGCCCATGGTTCTTGATATTTGTTTTGGTTGGTATGCTCCTCCTGCCTTGCTTCTCTGCTCTTTTTTGACATTCAGGACTCAGCTGAAATACGTGGTAGAGAGCTATTATACTTGCCCAAGGATACTGAAAATTTTAATTGTAGCCTGCCCAGGGCAGTTTCTAATTCCAGAAGGCTAGTAGGATCTTGTGCTCTATTTTGGAAAGGGGCAGCTGTTCCTCAGGCCTTCCTTCCCCTTTGCTTCCTCACCTGTGTCTGCTCCTGCAACCTCCTTTCCTAAGTCCTTCCTCTTGGAATGTTTCCTCATTTCCTGTGCTGGGGACTTTTGTGGCTGTTATGTTCTGTGGGAGCACTTCGAACACATGGTATTTTTCTCTCTAGTTCTTTCCCATCAGATACACACCTCTCTGCTTACATGTTCAAAAGGCAAGTGAAATACTTCAAATGAAATTCTCACTGAAGAGTCCACCTTTGGGCACTAGATCAATACAAAGAGTTGATTTTTTCACCCCTGCTTAGAGCAGACTAAGTCCTCGGGGAGCAGCGAGCACAAACATGCTTAAGTCTGTCTGCAAGATATAAGAAATTGTATACTGACTGGAATAAGAGCTTCAATCTCTCTCTTTTTAATTAAAAAATAAAGGCTGACTTTTTAATCCTTGATTCTCAAACCCATATATTCGCATTCTATGTAGGAAATGTTCCTGGCTGTGTGGATTCTTTCTTAGTCAAGGTCATGGATTTCTCTTCTGAAGAAGAAATTTCTCTCATAGCTCATATATTTTATTGGGTTGAAAAAGGAAAAAAAAATTACTGTTTTACCTTCACACAACACACACAACAAAAAAAAAGAGAAAGAAAAAGTTAAAGTTAACTAAGTGAATAATATAGGGAAATAGATTCTTTAATATTAGCAATTGGAATAACCAGCTAAAATAAGCTAAAAGCTTTAAAAAACCACATTTAGGCAGGTGAAAGACTACACATATAAGCAGCAAGTTAGATCCATAGTGCCTGGGATGTATGAAAGCCAAAACTCTGACAGTCAGTTAAGAAATATCTATTAAGTGCCTGCTGTGTGTAAGAAATTACTTATGGGTGAAAAATACTTTGAGTTGTTTTTTAAAATGCAGTTGGAACCACAAGAGAAACAATCCTTTGATGGGCTAGTAGGCATCTGCCTGCTGTGTGCTGGGAAACAAGAATGTGGCTGGGAGGTAAAATGTAGCTTGAGTTGAGGGAGAGGCGTGGGGCGGGGGGAGTGGTTCAGGCTTGACCCTGTCCCCATCCTGTGCTGGCGCCCTGGTTTCATTTCCTTGGGCAGGAATGGAGACTGATGGACTGTCATGGGCACCTGTGAGAAATCAAGGAAAACAGAGTGACCTTGGTGAAATTTCTAGACTCAGTAAGATTTTTAGAAAGCTCTTTGTAGCATTGACTGTTGGTGATTTTCATTCCATGGGTGGCATATTTCTTTATCTGGCAAACTGTTTTCTTGAATATTAAAGTTCTCCATACTCAAAAAAGAAAATATGGTTAACTTATATTTTAGCACTGGGTTGATCACTTTTAGCATATTTTGTTTCTGATTCAGTGCTCAAACCTGGAGAAGATGCAGTATACAGTTTTTATAGACTTAGGTTTTTTCCTACAGTATGATTGAGTGACATGAAAATAGTCTCACAAAATGATAATTTTCAAAACTGACAATTTTGCTAATTGCAGAGTTATTACATGGTCTGGATTTTCACTTGGATTTAACTACTCTTCCCACAGTGTTGGTCACTTAGGTTGTCATCACAGTTGTAAGTAACCTTGTAACAAACACCCTTTATACATCAGTCTTAGCTACTTTATTAGAACCCTTTGTTAAATAACCCATTTTTTCAGTAGTTTACTATGCTTTTTAATTATATTGAAAATAACTTAGATGTTTGTATATAATTTTAGTGTTCTGTTCTCTTCCATTAATTTGCTTGATTCTTCATTTATTATTCTTTTATTTTTTTTAAAGATTTATTGATTTATTTATTTATACAAGCACTGGGTACAGTGAGAAGCGCAGGAGGGCGAGAGAATTCACCAGAACCAGAGTGGGGAGCAGAAAAGGCAGAAGGACCGAAGTACAGTACACTGCTGAGGGGAGCAGCGGGCGTGGCAGGAGAGGTCTGCGCGCCATGTGGGACCTTTGCCGGCCGCCGGGGATTGAACCGGCACTGCAGAGGCTGCGGGCAGCTTCACAGCCCAGCACTCAACCGCTGCGCCACCAGGGGAGGCCCCATTTATTATTCTTAAAAAAAATTATCTGATGCTGAATGTTCAACATTCTAAATTGAGGCAGTATTGGTGGTAATCATGGCAGTGGTGGTAGTAGTAGTGGTGGTAGTTTTTGAGTGCTAACTGTGTGTCAGGAGCCAACTCATTTAATCCTCAACAG